ATTCAACAAGAAAAAAGATACTTTTTTAAAAAGAGTTAATACAAGAGGACAAAAAAGAAAAAGAGAAACGATTCATTTTAACTATTCAATAAAGAACGTGTATTTCACTTATGAAATTATTTCTATCTTCCTATAGAGATAACATGATAAAGTTGTTTTTTTTTCTTTTCTTTTCTATGAAATTTTGTTATGATCCAAGTATATTGAATAGATTTCATTTTTATTTGTTCTATTCATCAAATATTCTTTTTCATTAGTTTGTTTAGTCAATCAAAGAAAAAAAAGAAAGAATCATTTTAAAGAATTTGTAACGTTCTACTGAATTCAAATGAATAATATTGTTTGTCTATTTGGATTGTTTTATTACTCTCAGTTGATGATTTCCCAACATAATAATAATAATAATAATAATAATAATAATAATAATAATAATAATAATAATAGTTCGACACTTATTCACGTTTCAATCTTTTATTTTCATTTTTCTTTTAATTGACCGATTTTCAGAGTGACTAAATGTTAGTTGTTACTGTGTAGTAAATAATTAGCTCTTGATTGGAGTTAATTTTTATTTGGTTTTTGATTATTCGTAATCATGAAATCATTACTATGGAATGCTTAGTAATAATAATAATAATACACCAGGCGTCAACATTCAAAAAGGAAAAACAAACAGGATCCTGAAATGTAACATAAAGAACACCAAGCTAATCACACTTGATGAAGTATGTCAAAAAGAGGTGGAAATTTTTCACGTACCTGGACAGCATTATTGATAGATAAGGAGGATCTTGTTATAAATGTAAAAGCAAGGACAGCATTCCTACAATTGAAGAACATATAAAACTCAGAACAACTGTCTATTAGCTCCAAAGTCAGAATCTTCAATACGAACGTCAAGATAGTTTTATTGTTCGAGGTTGAAACTTGGAGAACTACTACAAACATCATCAAAAAAGTACAGGTATTTATAAACAAACATCTGTGTAAGATTCCTAATTTCTGTTGTCTGAATACTATCAGCAGCAGTCTACTGTGTGAGAGAACAGACCAACTTCCAGCTGAAGAGGAAATTAGGAAAAGACGATGGAAGTTGACAGGACATACATTGCGGAAACCATCAAACTGCATCGAGAAGCAATTTTTAACTTGGAATAAGAAGCAGACATCAAAAGGATGAATAGCAATTGGAAACAACTGAAAAAGAAAGTTCAGAACAGAGTTGGTTACAGAATCCTATTCGGTGGCCTATAATCCACGAGTAATGACAAGTGTAAGTAACTAAGTTTAATCTATTTAAACAACCATGTACTGTGTCAAATGCAGAAATTTCACTGAACAATTACAAATTCTGACTTAACATTCGCCCATTTATAAAACAATTTCAAATAGATTTCTAGACTGATTTATAACTTCTCTTCTTTTAGACAAAGTTTACGTTGGATCAGATCACTTTTTATTGACTGAGTGTTCCTAATGTCATATGTTGAGCTTGAATAACGTATTTGATAAACAGACACATTTACAATGTGTTTTGAATTATGAATAACTGTATCTCTAGCATGTACCAGTACAGAGTAAATTATTCATATTATTGATTTTCACCACTCCGTTGCATGTGCGTAATTGTAATTACATCTAAGCATCAAATCTTATGAGAGGAAGGAGTAACAATTGTGAAGTCGTTATAGTGAATTCCTCCCTCGAAACAGAAGTAAAATAATTTTCGAACAATACAAATAGTTATTTTCTGATGTAGAAAGTTACCTTGCGTTGCACCAAACAAACATAAATTAACACACCAAAATGAGTGTGAATTACTGATCGACTGACAATTGTTTTTGTTATGACTAATCACAAAATTTCACTTTATATTAATATTAAAGGGACTTTAAAGTCATTGTTGTATATGATAGTTTATACTATGAGCTAACTTTTAGGTGGAGAGCCGATGAAACTAGGAAACACTGAACAAATGCTTTGGCTGTGCATGAGACTACTCCAAAGTGCACACTCACCACTGAGCGTTCACTATGAGAACTGAAGGTCCTGGGTCCGATTTCCAGTGTAATGTTGGAAGTTCACTGTTGAGAACTCATACTGACACAAAAATAAACACACGCGTTTCTTGTGCCCTGTTGAGACTTGTGTGATTCACTCATATCTATAGGAACAGTTGTTTGATCTAGTCCGAGTACTGATTATTTCACCGAGATTTTCTATATAGGAACAATAGCCTTCTGCTGATTAATGACGCGATAATCCACCTTTGACCAATAATGGAATGGCTGTGAGGTAACGGGCAAGATCATTTCTTAACGCCTGCTGGACGAAGATTCTGCTATTCCATACTCACCTCCGCGACACGCAGAGTAGAACAAGAACACAGTAAACATATAACCTCTGTCGTACAGTTCAATCCTATACTTTAGTTAGCACAATAATATAGAGTTGATTCTTGACAATCGACCAACATAAATAAGAAATTATAAAACATGCATAACTACACCGTCAATGGAAGATAACTAAGTGATAATTACGTAAATAAACGACTATAACTTGAGGAAGTTGAAACATACAATGATAATTTATGAGCCAAAAGAAAGCTTACAAATACCAAGAAACAATAAGCCAAACATTCAACAATCGTACAACATTTAAACAATAATTGTTCGTTAGGTAGTTTTGAGAGTTACAACCTCTGCACTATTTTCCTCCATCATAGAACAGACTAGGAGGAAATAGTTGTCCATTGCTTCATGGCTTTTAATGATTATTTTACTAAGGGTCAATCATTATCATATTACTGAAATACAAAATAACAAAGCGAAAATCAGAATAACTGTTATATTGAATGAAGATTAAACGAGTGATGACTGCCAGGATTAATTCCTAGACTATTACTATACATATTCTTATTGTATAATTACAACTAGATTATATATATATATATATATATATATATATATATATATATATATATATCATGAATTTACGTTCGACTCATTCACTACTGTTAAACGTTTAACTATTCTTAATCTGTTTTCCGCAATCTCCATTACTCACAACCATCTTTTGGCTCTATCCTTGCTATATTTTAATTCATGGTGTGATGTGGTTGGGTATTTCTGTATATGAACCACGTATGTTCGAAATATACTATTCGTATAGCAGAGTCCATTAGCTGTGTTCTGGACACAATGCTCAAGGAAAGTATCAAATAGAGGACGAATAAGAGCTCGACTCAAGGTTTACAGTGCTGTAGATGGGTTCCCATTAGTGTTTTTGTCATGTGATATTAATGAGCGGCCATAAGTTATAACTAACATTTTTTAAAATGTTATTCTGAAAGGGATTTGGATGAAATTTAACGATTTTAATTTATTGAACTGATCAATGTTAACCATAGAAATACCATGTAGTATAATATTAACTAATCCAGAAAAATATCCCATTCCGATAGCACGTAAACAACTTTATTAGAACCCCTTGTCTCAATGAGGGTAAGGATAAAAAAGTTGTAGGTACTGAGTCAGAAAGCAAAATACAGTCAATTAAAACGGCAATGATAACAATTACAGTAATCAGTACCTTCGGTAAATTTTATTGATGTATTAAGAAGTTGAGTAAAAATGTGATGTATGTTTGCAATATACATTTAAAACAATCTAATCACACATATAACTACCAAGGGATTAATAAATCAAAACCAATAAAGGTCGAAAGAATAAAGGATTAACAAAATAAGCGATAATCCGAAACAAAAAAGGGAAAATTAACATAATATTGGGAAGAACAAGAAGTTATCATAACAAATGGATGAAAGATTAGCAGGGTAGAAACAAGGTTAAAGCAAATTGGTATACAATAGAGGGTTGAGTTTCCTAATATTCAAGGCTTTTACAAACTTAAGAATCAGTCCTTGACAATTTCTACACTATACTTTAAAAGTTGCTTTAGGGTCAATCTAGTGACCTATTTCGACTGTGTTTTGCTATCTAGGATTATGGCCTCCTACTTCCTGTTTACTGGAGCGCTTAACATTAACTGACTAAGGATATGTTTATTTCTAAATCTATTCTCTATATGAATTACTTTATAAGTGAGTTTTCACAAGTCTGGAACAATTTACCACAATATTTATGTCGACAGACGAAAGTATTATGTAACACCAATTAGAAGTGGAATGCCTGAAAGCAAAGGGTTGAGAAGATTGAACTGGAAAAAAACCAGGAAGGAAAAGATAAAGGAATCGAGAATTGGAAGAATCAAGAAGAATGTAAAGGACAACTGATGGAAGATGTGCAAGTGAAGTATTTAATCTATGGTTTTCGTATTTTACGAAGACATTCTGTAATTTTGTATTAACTGATAAATTGGTTGTCCCCACTACAGTACTATTTTCCCTAATTCAGTTTTCCCCATGACCTTAGGCGTTTTTCTAATTAGTTCGCTAAATTTTTATTTGTTCGAAGATCATATCTTCGTTAGTATGTATACGGAATTATACCACTTTATTTAATTTAGCTTGGTCTACTTTAGTTATCAAGTTTTCTGATTTCTACCTCTGTTAGTTGGTCAAGTGTTGTGTACTAGTTACCCTTATGAATTTACACAACACAACCAGCTGTATTAAAGCTAGTACTGAACATCAAAATATCAAGATTTCACACTTTGTAAATAATGTACACCATTTTTTTAAAAAAATATTACCTCTCTATTCTATATCACTTTCCTTATCTCCCGATAAATTGATGTGTATTGTTCAATAATTTTTAGAATAATTTATAGTTACAAACACAAATTTATTCTATATGAAAATAGACATTATTATTACGTAATGTACGAAGTTGTAATTATTTCAGCACCGGATTTGAAATGATCCTCTACAGAAAAAAACCCAATCAAGTCAGTAGTAGACAGAATAAGTCAAAATAAATCAAAAGATTGTGAATACAAATCCAACACGATCCAGGAGTAATATTTTGCCATTCAATCAATTACCATTTCTTCAAAATTTCATATGCCGAATTTAACGTTGAATCCTCCTGAAAAAGTTATAACAGGAAAAACAACAAAATATCAATAGCTAAACATTTTGAAAAGAACAGACAATTACACAAACAATTCCAAATGATACTCAATAAATAGATAGATTTATTGATCATCAAACGTGGATAACTTAGTTATTAACTTGTATACAGTGAGAATAGAGGCTTAATGCTTAAAAAATTCGCTTTAAGCAATTTAGTTTCAGATTCGAACGTACTGCGGATTTACTAAAATAATGTTCCATGGATTTCATCAGTTAGTTAAAATAGACCAATTAGATTCAATTGTCCCAATATTTAATACATTTCGCAGTTATAACGTAACAATCAAGAATTAGTATCCATTAAAAAGGTCCCGATTAAAGAAAGAACACATCAGTAATGACGACCATTAAAAACGTAGACACCAATAAAGGAGAAAATAGAAAAACTCTACTTTCAACAAAATGTTCGAATATGGAAACAATTTATTATTATCAATCCACTCATGTCATTGCAAACAGCTATTTTGAAGAGAAAGCTTTAGACAATATATCTTTTCACTCACTATTGAGTATTATTTTGATATGATATTTATGATTTCATTCATGGTTAAGATATCTATTGGGCGTTAACATTAGTATTTCATTGAGAATGGAACCATAGTGATTGACCATTTTGTAAGTATTCACTGTGTATTTGAGAAATCTTCTAATTAATACTTACATTTGATTGATGACTGAATTAGATTAGCAGACAGACAATTGTTTCATCGTATAAAAATTTAACTATTATGGATTATCCTTGAAAAAGTAATGCCATTTTTAACTTGGAATAGCTATATGTAAAAATTATTCAGACAAATGTTTATTCTAAATGTGATATATTTTCGGACATGTATATGTAAGTACGTTTGTGTGAATACAATGTGAATAAGTCATCCGTATGTTTATAAAGAATAGAGAATTCCAGTTAACGAATAACCCGACAGTAGCTGCTACACTGACGTGGTGTTCCGGCTTACCTATCTTTATGACGCAACCGAGCTATATTGGCTAAAACATATATTCCTGTAGGTTCTACCATGCCAGGCAGGTCACTTGGAGAACGGTAAGACTAAAAGCAGCAACTCAAGGTCTGAAGGCGAAGTCATACTGCTAACTGTAGAGGGGTGCGACAGCAGTAAGGTATTTTCCTCGGAAAACCAGCATTCGCAGCGATGCTGCCTTCACACAAGCAAGGAAGGGGTTAGAAAAGACCGACCCTAAAAATATCACACCTCACGGATTTCCGTCTCCGAAAATAGGGCCTTTTGAATAACGGAGCTAGCACGTTAAAAAATCCCAAAGAAAGACCGTGAGTGACCGGCCTCAATCAGTTGTCCGTTGGGCTCTGCGGTCACGCTCCCAGGTCGTTAAGACCAATACTAATTCACATTCTTTCTCAGGTTCATGTAAGAGCTTTAAACGTCTGAACACTATGCCAAAAAGGACAACAGACTTATTTAGCTAGGACTTTAGAATCTCGCGCTATCGAAGTATGCTGTGTATCCGAAATGCGCATTCAGGATCCGAGTAGTGCCATTCATTTGACTTCATATCAAAATAGTGCTTCATCTCAATTCATGATTCATGTATCTGGAAGCCCTGATCCCGCCTCCTGTAGCCTACTCTCTCACTGACTGCAGCTCAGATGAGGTAAAAGATGAGTTTTACAGAAAGCTTTCTGACCTCCTCTAAAAAATTAGGCGCTCTGATGTAGTAATAGTGGCTGGTGACGTTAATGCTCAAGTGGGTCTTATGTTGTCGTGACTTAAAGAACAAATAATGGCGACCGTCTGTTGCAAGTTTCCCGAGATTTTTAAGGATGGCGGTCCAGTATTAGCAATGAGATTGACTGAGGTTTTAGGAAAAGGGTACTAGGTAAGGACAGCAAAATAGTTGATGAAGTAGTGAAACTTTATCAGTTGAGATGGCTGGGACAAGTGTTACGTATGCCCAACCACTGACTGCCCCGACGAGCGATGTTTTATGGTGTAGGAGTAGATTGGAAGAAAGCTAGGGGCGGCCAGACCAAAACATGGCACTAATCCATGAAGTCACTGATAAGTGAACTGAGTCATGTTGGTAAGTGTAGACTACCTGGTTGGGATCAGCGAGACGATAGCAACAGATGGTAAGAGACCTTGGATGACATCGCTCAAAATCATTTGCAACGGAGTAGGTGCATTCACTCTTTGTGTTCTCTCAAGTTCTAATCTTCTGAATTCTTTGTCCCTTTTTTCTCTTTCCAAATTTATTTCACTGGACTATACTACTTGAATAACATCTTCAAACCCTAATCTTTCCAATTACTGCATATACTTTTACTACCTCCACCACGACGGGATTTGAATTGACAATTGTATGTCTGTGCTAATGTGGTATGGCAACTCGAACTGATGTACGTACGTACGAAGTTCTACGTTTTTGCTGACTGACCGAGAGTTAACAAATAAAATTCTAGTGATATACAACTGCCTTATAAAAGAAAATATTCGTCAAACACTTATTCAAAGATAATTATTTTAGCCTGAGGAATAAGCATCAACTGAGGGCCAGTATTGAAATGATGTTTACAAACTTCATATTATCGCCTATTGTTAAGATAATATGTTACCAGTCTTCATTCTCTCCTAATCCAACTCATTTTCTGTGAAACGCTTTATACTATTTGCTAATATTCAGTAGTCAATTTTATTTCTAAAGTATTTCTATATACGAATATTCGTCAAGATTAGGACGAATAGTTTGACAGAAATTGGGCACCGAGTAAAGAGAAGTCATTATATGTGAAAATTAAATTTGAAATAATCTCAGCGATTGAAATTTAAATAATTCCAACGTTTCATCTAGCTAACTTGTCTGGACTTCTTCAGGGTAATAATCAAAATGATTAAAGAAATATATAGCATTTAACAATCATAACTATACTGTGTTACACCAATCCAATTTCGGATGTTGAGTTTTATAAAATAGGGTAAAATTAGTCAGTTAACTACAACTCATGTGAAAAAATTCAACTATATGGAAATAATTAACTGAGTAACAAATTGTATGTGTGTGAGTGTGTATGTATGTATGTGTGAAATTAATCATTGATGTTCTGTGTTGATATGTTATATATGAAGGAATAAATAAATAAATAAAAGTGCAAGTTCAAGGTTGATAAAATTGTTAATGAATCATCTTTGTACATGTCAACACAAAACATCAATAATTAATCTCACACATACATACATACACACTCACACACATACAATTTGTTACTCAGTTAATTACTTCCATATAGTTGAATTTTTTCACATGAGTTGTAGTTAACTGACTAATTTTATCCTATTTTACAAAAATCAACATCCAAATTGGATTGGTGTAACACAGTATAGTTATGATTGTTAAATGCTATATATTTCTTTAATCATTTTGATTATTACCATGAAGAAGTCCAGACAAGTTAGCTAGACGAAACGTTGGAATTATCTACATTTCAATCGCTGAGATTATTTCAAATATAATTTTCACTTATAATCAAGCATTACTATGTTGTTTTAAGACCTGGAGATTCGCTTGAAGGAAAAATCCCCTTTATTTCAACTCCGAATTGTGTCCACAAATTAAGATGTGTCAATTGTGATGTTTATTATATTGGAGTGTCATCTTTTGAAATCTTGATTCGAGACAAAGAACATCTTAGCTACACAAAGAAGCCACCTAATAGTCTCGTAGAACTAGAAAGACTCCAAATTAAATCGGAAGTAGCAGTTCATCCCATTTTTAAAAACCATCAAATCGATTTCAAAATAATACAAAAAACATTTTCCAACTACAAATAAAGGCGAGTAGCCGAAGCTTTTAATATTTCGCTTAATCCGACTGCCTTCAATAGAAAAGAAGGCCTCACTATCCATCCAAATTGGACCATCTATCCAAACTATCATGTCTGATTCTATTCACATTTCATACTATTAGCGTACCCTTTATCACCACAAATGTCACATTTTTTCATTCCTTACCATACAAACACAAATATATAAACATGCCTCATATAAATCACCTGGACTGGAATGACATGACATTGACTTGGTCAGACCTGTTTTTGATTGATCACAATTTATATTCTTATTTTGTTCCTTTGTACTATTTAAACTTGGGTTAATTTTATTTGATTTTTTTTTATCCTCTGAAAAAGTGGCCTACGCTGAGTTACGAAACGTCAGAAAAAATTCAATTTTTTTTCTCATTGGGATATTACAAGTATATTATTTTTATTTATGACAATCTAACCAATGACCAATTTATTTGAAAATATCAAGTCCATCCTTGGTAATGATACCCGCATATTTTGATTGTGTAATAATCTAAAGTATTTACATAAACTAATGACATTTACTGTATTTGTCATTTTAATTACATTCGCTGAAACCTTGTAACTGTTATTTTCAGTTTTTGTACATTACTCGAACCTATGTTTCGGCAGCTTCCATGTTTATCGGCACTTTGTCTTTGTTCGATTGTTGATAGTCATTATTGACTTAAGATACGGCTATTAATTGTGATTTACATATTTTTTTCCAGATATAAAATCGTTTTAACCCTAATGGATACCTTACGAGTTGAGGTTTGTAACTAATTTAGATATATTTTGCAATCGTAAAACCGTTTTTTTTTAGATCTTTGTTTTGAACCTCGATTTCACGAGTGGTTCAGCCATGTAATCAAACACAAAAATAGATTTGACACTTATGAAACAAAAAGCCTACTCAGATAAACTAACTTGGGTGACAGACATCCTTTAGTTCAGTTCAGCTCTATTTACCTAGTCCTGGGTTAGCATTTATATTGATTAGACAGAAACGGTATTATCAAAGAGAATCTCCAAAACACCCAAGAGCGCTATAATTTATTTTGTTTTCAAAATGACGAGAATCCCAATAGTCTATGCTGTCAAATAATGCATATATACTGACATAAATGTAGATTAATTGTTTAAAGCGTAAGTAGGTTACGAATATCATATCAAAATAATACTCAATAGTGAGTGAAAAGATATATTTTCTAAACCTTCCTCTTCAAAATAGTTGTTTGTAATGACATGAGTGGATTGATAATAATAAATTGTTTCCAAATTCGAACATTTCGTTGAAAGTAGCGTTTTTATAAAACGTTTTGAGAACTACGTTTCTGATTGGCTGTAGAGGCAAACGGACAAACGACTGACTAACTTTCAAACTTTTAAAAATTATGTTCCCCCTATTCTATGTTCTACTTTGTTAATATGTACTTTTTCAATGGTCACGATTACTCATATGCCCCCTTTTTCTTAACCCCTTACTGGTGTGAACCGTTGGTGAAGTACTGGACCAAATTATGGAACCAGTGGTAATACCCAAGTATAGTGTTTGTTACCATTCAATTATTATCATTGATAAAGTGTGTGTATTTCACATGGGGTAAATATGAACAGAAATATACAAAAAATGTGCAAGAAATAAGCTTACTTTGAAAAAACAGAATCGTAAATATTTTGAACCAAGATGTTGATTAGATGTTGAATAAAACACACTCATTGGAATAGCAGAAACACCCTACAATAAATCAAATAAGATTATATAACGACGAGATAATGGTTATAGAAATGAAACAGGATAACATACATTTATAGCAATCATTGATTTATCACGGTTGGATACAGTACAAATCTACATTTGATAAAACTAATTAAGGAATAAAATACAGTTACACAAAAAGAATACTTCATGCAACACCAGCAATCAAACGACTGAATACTTTCAATACGCTAGAAGACGTGTGTGTAATAGGAAAGAGTGAATTATAAAGGATGAAACAGCTTGGTCTACATTAATATAGAATAGAGGAAATGTGAATGACAGTGGAATCCAAAGAAACTTGTTTCGTCCTATTGGGGATCCATCAGCTGAATATATTTACATCTTAAATTAAATCTTCACTTAGGGACTTGGTTTACTTTAGTTTTAAATGTAGAAATGTCAGTGTCTGTGAACGATCTTGATGCGAACACACAGACTAATAACTACAGTTCATGGTATGAGGAAAACTATTATAATTACAATTACACCTTGTATAAAACTATTATAAATAAACCATATTTCACATTAAATTTAGATAAAAGCTAGTGAGATTTGTCAGACATTTTTCGTTAAAGTAGTATAAATAGATTTGTTCACTAATTAATGTATCCTCTCTCCTATAATCATCAAAACTTTTAGTGTTCTGAACTATATGTCATCCATTTTTGGCAAGAAACCTTTCAAGAGAACATTGTATATATTCAGTGATAAAAAGCTGAAACATATGGTGTAAATTCACTCAAAGACCCCATATAACTATTGCTGTAATCTCTCATCATAGGGATTCATATAATAATTCGTTTATCATTTTGAATCACTAACATTATATATGGAACTTCGTTACCCACCACTGCTCACGGTCGTTCCTTAGACTTTTTCTTAACCGAAAACAAATCAGATCTAGGTTAAGAAAAAGTCTAAGGAACAACCGTGAGCAGTGGTGGGTAACGAAAGCAAAAGAGATGGAAAAGGCGGCGACTATAGGGAACACAAGACAGCTTTACAGACTAATAAAAGAAACTGGAATTAATAAGTCAAGTGTAAGTGAGATTATTTCGGAAAAAGATGATACTCTCATCTGCTCCCAGTCCAGGCGTTTAGAACGATGGGCGGAACATTTTAGAGAACAGTTCAGCTGGCCTTCAGCTACTGTACAACTACCCTCCATTCCCAGACAGTGTGAATGGAACATTGAAGTAGGTCCCCCAACTCTTGCTGAAGTTCAAAAGGCTATAGTTAATCTGAAACGAGGAAGGGCAGCTGGTCCAGATGGATTGGCTCCAGAGGTCTTTAAGGATGGTGGTCCAATTTTAGCGATTAGGTTGACTAATATTTTAGCTAAAATCTGGGAATTAGACTTTATCCCATCTGACTGGTCGCAATCACTTATCGTCCCAATATATAAGAAAGGGTCAAAATCATCCTGTGACAACCACAGAGGGATTAGTTTAACAAACATAGTATCTAAAATACTGGCCTCGATAATTATCAAACGCCTAACTAAGACTCGTGAACTACAAACTCGAGAGAACCAAGCTGGCTTTAGACCTGGTCGTGGCTGCATCGACCACATATTCACCATTCGTCAGGTTCTAGAACACAGACATACCTATCGGCGTCCGACGATGGTGGTCTTTCTTGACTTAAAAGCAGCATTTGATTCTGTAGACCGCGAGACTCTGTGGCAGTGTCTGTCATTGAAAGGCGTACCTCAGAAGTACATAAACCTTGTAAAGGCTCTTTACTCGAACACTACTAGTCGAGTCAGGGCTTATGGCGAACTGTCATCTACTTTTGCAAACTCAAGCTGTTTCCGTCAAGGCTGTCCACTTTCTCCATTTTTGTTTAACTTCATCATAGACCTATTGATGGAAATAACACTCTCGTCGACTGAATTCTCGGGTATTGATCTCCTTCCAGGAGGTCCACTTATCGACTTAGAATACGCAGATGACATAGTCCTGTTTGGTGAAGACGCTGACAAAATGCAGAGTCTTCTGGTAGCACTAAGCAACAATGCCAGAATGTTTGGGATGCGCTTCTCTCCCTCTAAATGCAAGTTGTTGCTTCAGGACTGGTCCGCGTCAACACCCGAACTAAGGATAGGGAGTGAAGTAGTCGAACGCGTCGACAACTTCACTTATCTTGGAAGTCTGATCAGCCCTAATGGGTTGGTGTCTGACGAAATCTCAGCACGGATTCGAAAAGCTCGTTTGGCTTTTGCCAACTTACGTCACCTTTGGCGGAGGCGAGATATCCGTCTATCAATAAAAGGACGAGTATACTGCGCGGCAGTCCGTTCTGTCTTACTTTACGGCAGCGAAACATGGCCTTTAAGAGTGGAAGACACCCGTAAGCTACTAGTATTTGACCACAGATGCCTTAGAAATATTGCTGGCATCTGCTGGGATCACCGGGTAAGTAATAGTGAGGTTAGACGCAGGGTATTAGGTAATGATGGTAAATCAGTTGATGAGGTTATGAATCTTCATCGACTGAGATGGTTGGGCCACGTGTTACGTATGCCTGAACACCGATTACCACGGCGTGCAATGCTAACCGGTGTAGGGGATGGTTGGAAGAAAGTTAGGGGCGGCCAAACCAAAACGTGGCATCAGTGCTTGAAGTCACTAACTTCTAGTCTGAGCCATGTTGGTAGATGCAGACTACTTGGTTGGGGTCCGCGTGACTTTCGTAACCAATGGTTGGAGACTCTTGGTGACATGGCTCAGAATCGATCACAATATCGTCGGTGTATACACTCCCTGTCTTCCCTTAAACTAAGAGATTAAAATCACTTCATATCTTTCTTTCTACAAACTAATTCTTTCTTCCTATACTATATCCTTATTGCAACCTTTGACCTAACCACTCCTATGAATCCGGTGTTCATCTTGCTGTGCTAATGAGGTATGGCAACCTGGACCGATGCACATATGTGCCTGGTCCTACGTTGTAGCTGACTGACTGACGACTGATATGATGTATCGTATATCTAAGCTCCTTTTCTATGAATTGTTCCACACCATTAAAGATTAATCATTTACTTGTTAGTGTAATAATTCTAACTTAATTGTAATTTACATTATTCTCATTTCCTCGATATTATCTTGAATTTTTATCGCACATTATTGTCCTCAACATAGACGTAAAACAGATGGGAAAACATATACGCTAGTGGATTAAATCTATCATGTTTTAAGTATTTTAATTCAGAGGTAAGAACAACAGGTTATTTCATTATATAGAATGTGAATTTCTACAGAGATTATGTCATCAGTTTACCTACCGAGATTTTTGTTTGATGAAAAAATAATGGGAATATGTTGGAGACTGAAACTTTATCATTATTATTCAGCATAAACTGTACAGTAGTCAATTTCTGTTGTTAAAGAAAGACTTAGAATACATAAATTGGACTTCATATTTCCAAAATTAATATTTGTTTATCAAATAACTTATTCTTGGTAAAGAATATCTGAAACGAGTTGAGGATGATACTTAAATAAGTGGGGAATTAGTAATGGCATGGTGTGGAAGTCCAACTCCAACCAATCCAACATACAAAGTGACAATTTCCTCCTGTCTTTGATAGGCGTTTTCTTCACTCTCGACATGACTGAACCTCACTGGTCAGAGTGCAGTCGTGGATGTCTACAACTACGGAGTCCTATACTAGGACGAAACAGATGTCCAGTGCCTCCGGGTTTTTAATGATTTCAATAAAATTTACTACTAGGATCAGCTTCAAATGACAAAAACCAATATAACAGGGGTATATATACATATGTGAGATTGTTGGATACAGTTCGTAAGAAGCTACTCAGTCCCCTATCAACGAACGTTATTTGAAATCTGGAAGGAACTGGTCATCCCAGGAAGATGTGAACACACATCGTTAAAACTTCATAGTCGAAGACGTTACCACTGAGGTTAGTCGGTAAACGAACGTCATTATCAGATACCAGCTAGACACTGATTGCTACATATATACTTACTTTATTTTGCATCATCCAGTTATTAAACTTGACATCATACGATAATGAGTCATTTTTATCCAATTCATTCGATGGGACATCTGAAAGAAAGGAGTACAAATGTAAAGAAAATAGAACCTGGAATAATTGGACCTTTAATAAGGACACTAGAATTATTAGAGACAATAAGTGCTGCAGGGAAAATTTTTAAAAATCATGTTAAATATATACAAAACAAGGAATTATTTAGTTTTATTTTAGGCATATAGGCATGGATACGCTAGTTTATCAGTGACAACGAAACTCTTAGAACAAATGTGTGTTAGCTCAACTTTCTATACTACAGCAGAATGACAAAACGAAATTAACACGTGAATGAGTCGAAATAATTATGATAGAAATAATGAGAAAGAATATATAGTGGGAACATGACCCGAGAAATCACTTCACTAATTAGCGATGAGAACTTGCATGGATGCTACTGCAGAGGTCAACACTAAGGTGAAAAACTTATCCATTGATCTCTAGTTTTCAGTGGTAGTCAAAATGAAGCTGATCTGTAGGGGATATCGCCTACCAACAAAAAGTGATACTCACCAACAACTTAAAAATACGAAACAATCTGAAAATTGAACAAGAATATATAGTGAATAAAAAACACTGACATACATGGAACTTACGCAATTTGGAGATATCCGCCACGAGGAAATATCCTCCAGTGGGTCTTACTGCTATCATTCCTATTTCATTCAATTTCTTAACCATATTTCGACCTTTCGGTTCAATCAATGCACACATCTCATTAAAATACGATTCATGTGTATTCAATAATGGTAATTCAATTTCTAAACTTCGTGCAACAGCTTCCTAGAATAGAATTCGAAATAGAATAGGAACCAGGTGAAATGAATCACGATTATAAACACCAATCAGAGTCTACATTACAAACTCATGTTAAATGAGTCTGTAATGTAGACGCCCTCAAATGCCCTGACACGGTCGAGAGTCCGCTCTCACTCACGAAATGCTCTCACATGGCCACGTGCATACAAACACAATCAGGGAAGTCCTACTCACTGCCTTCTCGCACCATAGGTGTTGTTTACGAAATCGAGAGGACGAAAAGAGAATGTCCAGAGTTTCAACCGGGTCAATGGATACGGAGGATCCACCTAGGGGAGTTGGAAAACCCTGATTACAAACCAATTGTGTACATGGGCTCCACGATTCTAAGGACACAAATGGCGTATGAACCAATTATTGGTCACCGGTTACCATGGGACTGTATCTTCTTAAGTTGCTCCACTGCCTTGTGGACTAGACCTTTAGGTCAAAGGCTCCGGGTGTGGCCCCCTAAGAAAACCACCTGTTGCGGCTTGGGCACCCGGACAGTATCCCAGCCCCCACACAAATTGAATGATTTGTGTGGCGCGTATATATTTGGTGCCTCCTTGTACAAATGTTTATGTTTCAATAAATAAATAAATAACTCGTATTAAATGGACAATCCATAAATATCATAAGAGGACTAAACAACTGTTTTGTCCTAGCTTGGAGACTTGCAAGCAGTTCTCTTACCATACAGATAAACATGACAATGTATAGGAAGTGAGACACATACCACTCGTATCAAATAGTATGTTATGTTTATGAATAAAGATTCTGGCATTCTCGACAAATATACTGTTGCTTCATTTAACAACCGTAATACAAATTATTTTATTTAATTGACAAAAAATGAAGCCACTACCTCAGAAAAGAAACATAAATCATACTATTAAATAATGGAAATTGATATTGTAACTGAAATGTGTTTATTACTTGTAAAGGAGTTGGACATGTATACACAGTATTTTGTTGATGCAATTGCATAGCCTGTATTAAATTAGCTGGTCCAATTGTCCAACCTAATTTCCAACCGGTTACACTGAATGTTTTGCCAGCACTTCCAATAGTTAGGGTACGTGACCACATACCAGGCAAAGAGGCTGTGAAAATAAACACAAGTAAGCTTGAATTTATTTCCAAAATAAAACAGTTCAACGTATAAAGTTACACAAAAGATAATTACACCGAATTTGCCTGATATACTTAAAAGCTGACGAGGAGTCACTCAAAATCAACGTTTACAGCGATTAGTGTGAATTTGAAATGGGAAATATTGGTCACCTACCTGATAAGTATCTGTGAAAGATGTCTCCTTCATGTTTTAAAATGACAGGAATTTAAAAAACATGATATATTAAAAAATCTAGAATAATTGCTAACAATGAAGTAGAGGTCATGTTTCTCGTGCCACCTAAAACTCATCAGTTGAATTTACCTTCGTAACAGTGTTGATGTTCGAATCAAGAATCGATCACAATATAGATCACTACAAACACCATAAAGAAGTCGCTACTGAAACACTGAAAAACCATACCCACTAGCGTCCACCGAATGCGATGAAACTACTTCCAAGAATACTCTTGATGATAAAATTTCTAAATTCAGACAGAGTTGTACCGGGGACATAAGTCAAAAGAAACTTAACAAATGCAGCCAACAATACACAGAATTTACAATTGCTGTTTATGCATTCATGATTACAAAAAATCTTGAACTTAAATTAGTCACACAGCGGACGTTCCTAAGCACCCCTTAGATAGTAATTCAAGGTAAACAAGTACAACACTTTATATCCATGAGATATACTCAAGCAAATAACTGTTAATTTTACCCTATGATAAATGATCAGTTAACATTTAGAGTATTTTGGATTAACGATGCTTACAATATATTGGAATAATATATATACATACTTTATTCGGAATAAACAAGTGTACAAAAAGACATTGAAATAATCATTATTTGTACACAACTTCAGCACTTAATAAAACGGAGCATTGGTTAACCACGTACCGATTTTAATATGATGATTAGGCGGAAATACTAACCATTCATAAACTTCATCTGAAATACACACCAAATTATGACGAATGCATACATCCGCGATACTCTCCAATTCTTCTCTATTAAATACCTAAACGTTTGGGAGGAAAAATCATAAAACACTTGAACACAGATTGATCACATTGACTAGTGCTGCTTTTTATAGTTGCTGATCGAATTCATCCGATCAAGTGTGACCTCTAGTCTAATTGAATTAACTTCACCTAAGTCCTAACATCATATAGTTATAGACAATGCACAAGAAGCTGAAGACTTAGACTTCATTCCAGATCGTACAAAATAGCTAATTACATCCAATTTATATAGGGAAATGATATTCTTTAGTGACCCGGCATCTGACTCCATTTGGATCCTATGGATGATTGCTATTGAAACATACATATTGCCAGTACTCGCATATAATTATCGACTTAAATCACGTTGTTGAATAACGAAATTAAATAAGTCAAACGCGAAAATGGATTTTTGAACACGTATATTTTGTACAACCACTGATCGGAAAGGGAAGCAAAACAAAACTCTATTAAACCAAACGTCAACCGATATTTATAGTCAGACAAAAGTAAGTTACAAACATGTGATGAGGAAGATGAGAAATGCACACACATACGCTTACACAAAAACAGTCAAGGCTGATAAGCGAATAATTAACAAGGTCAAATGCGACTCAAGAAGAATGAATAAATTGACCTGTCCGGAAGCCAGAATAAGGTATGTGGGGTTGACATAGCAACCAACACTACGGTTCCCCCAGAAAGATCTGAAACACAGACACCTGAGCTACTCAAATAGGTCATAAGAGGAATATTTTAAAAGAGAGAAGTGACCAATTATCATGATCGTTTAATTCTTACTTTTAATTGAAAGCAGTAAAAACATGTGAACTGAAGAGGCTAACCGACACGTCAATTCAACTACATATTTATTATTGAGAATAGAACAATTATAACTTACTTTACCCAAAGGATTATGTGGTGTGTTTAATAGTAACACTTTAGTTTTTGAAGTAATTTTCGATTCCAATTCTTTGATATCTAATTTCCAACAATCACTGATTAATTCTTCACCATCATCTAATTGCTATATAAATTAATCATATAAGATTACTTGGAAATTAAGAGTGGGTTTTACAGAAGTAAGCAATTGGCAGATTATATAACTATCACCTTTTCTACATAACAGGAAAGTGGTTAAGAGTAAGCCAATGGTGAATATATAAATTGTTATAAAGTCACAGTGTAGATGTCAGATGAATATATCGTTAACAGTTGATAAAGTGAAATAACAGAGGAAACGCCACTGGTTCATTAAATTCTGAAAACATTTTATTCGGAAAAGCATGCCGTACTTAAAAGATAATTAGAATGTACAAGTTAGAGTTAGTATGTTGAACTTAGATTTAGAAAAAATTGTAAAATCTAATACCATCTGTCTTAAGTCCTAAACCCTAAATTACAAAGTGTAGATACTGATTCTGGTATTAAAATCTAAACTATGTTTCCTAATCTTAACTCTACATCTTAAGCACAGCCCAAATCCTAGTCAGTTGAGTCATAAATCCCTTATTTACCTTTTCTGCATTCTGATCGCCTGGATATGTTAACAGCTTGCCAAGGTCATAGAAATGTTTGCTTCGGCTCACCTTTACAATTCAGCTTTATAAGTTTTTCACTAGCTTCAAAACAATGAAATAGTAGTTTTTTGAAAAATGCATCTGTTTCAAAGCAATTCTAATCATTGTATCATGTTTTGAGAGATTCTAGAGTCTTGAGCTCGATTACTCATTTGTTTGCATGTTAACTGAAGAGTCCTTAAGCTATCGTATCTATTGATACTTAATTTTTTAAGATTATTTAACTAGTATCGGCTCGTGATGAATGCGAACTTCATATAACACTATATACATGTTTCTGTCATAATCTGCAGTTATTGTGGTAATTTCATGTTAATATCATCTTTCTGCAATCATATAGAATTGACAACTTGGACCGATGTACAGACCTCCCAGATTCTAAGTTGCTTCAAGCAGACTAAAAAATGCTGAAATTCAGTTTTAAATGTTAGATATATTGAAATGAGTTGACATTGTTATAATTTCGCTGAGTTACTTCTAATTAGTATAGAGGCTAATGGCGGACGTATGTTTCATCCTACTTGGAACTAGTCAGTTTGATATACCTCTATGCCAGGGTTGATGTTCGCTCTGAGACTTATATCCAGCCCCAATAGATTCTAATACAAACGTACAATCGTTCAATTACTATTTCACAGACACTACGTATTATTAGTCTCAAAACTTCGTATATAAATTCGCAGGCAAATTCTCATAGTTTAGTTAAATTTACTTCGACTCGAAAAATAAAAAATCCAAATACGAGTTGGGTTACAATCGATGTTTTAGAGTCAATTGACTCAACAGACCACCAAACGCTGGCAGTCAAACAAGACACAGAAATAGAATGTGTAGAGTGTGCTTTGAACATACCCAACAATGTGTACATGAGTGAGTCATAAATTATTAAGTGACTGAGTTTACAATAAGAGAATAGAAAGATAACTCATTAAGTTAAATACAAAGCGTTAACCCGACCATCCGAAACTTTTGAGTTCGATCCCTGATGAAATCGTTAATACAGACCTTTAACAAATCCTAAAACTATAACAAAGGAATTGTTTTAGTCCTTATCGATTTTCAATAAGTATTTTCAGTCGATATGGTGAAAAGTAATTTTAAGAAAATTAACTTAAATGCTACCGACCGGTCGAAGTGGTACATAAATCGGTACACCACCAGCCATTACTGTCATTGGAGTATAACAGTCAAAACTTGGATCCATAATTATCACTTCATCATCAGGATTAACTAATGCTGAAATAGCCGTAAAAAGCGAACCATAAGCACCAACGGTAATAATAACTTCGTTTAAAGGATCAATTTCTCTGTCTGGTCCAAACGAGTCTACTTGAAGACTCCCAGATTCACCATACAGTTTACGATCACATCTTAAAAAACTTGTATACAGTTTAGATAATACATTCACTAAACGCGGATGACCCTGAAAAAAAGAGAAAAATGCATATTTCAGAAAAAAACTATCAGTGAAGCATAATCGTCAACGAAATCAACGAATGAAAGGGAAGTAAGATATACAATCAATATGAAGTCGGTCTCAGTAATGCAGTTGCATTCATTTTATTATCTTTTTGAGAATTTAAAGATGCGTTATTCCATACTTCTCATTCACTGATCTCATTTTTTCTCTTGTATAGAATTGAGATGAAGTTGAAATTTACTACTCTTATTTACTTCATATTCAGGTTAATCCAACCCCCCCCCAAAGCTAATGTGAGGTGTAACCACTAAAATCAAAATATATTTGTCAAAGCTCCTACATGAATGATCGCTTACTTCACTGATTAAATAAATACACCATCACGGTGATAAATACATCAAACTGAAACAGTTCACCATAAGTTTTAATCTAACCCGCTTGGTCAATTCAAATCACAATATGGGCACTATGATTGACAAACTCCCTCTAAACATTAGGTTTCATCATTATTATCAATATATTGAACTCTTTATTCCTAAAATTCCACTCATATCTTTTGAACTACGCTTCCCATGTTTATTTTATCAAGACTACTGATATTTTTCTAGTGTCGTTGCTTAGAAAAAATTAAAAGATTGAACAATTAATTCCATTACCACAATCACATTCTCCTTACTGTTCCTTTGTTAAAATGAAGTTTTATTATCTATCAAGTACATGTAAGAACTATTACATAACTCCTCAACAAAGCATATCATGAAGGTAGAAATTGGGAGAACTTGATACGTAATTCAACCATTTCAATTAATGAAGATTTATAATCTCCTACTAATCAATACACAAATGAATGCAACTGATAATCAGTCATCAGGCAAACCCCTTCTAAACTCTGTTTATTAATCACTGTGTTGAATGGTTAAATATGTATAAACTTAAATACGACATCAACAATGTGTAATGCGATTCAATTTAAATATTACACAACAGATCGAGGTGTAAAAATACTTCGCAGTAGAACAAAACCTACATCTTTTTTAGGAACTAATTGGTACAAACAGATTGATTATGAAAACATGATCAAAAATCAGCAAATATCGATCCAATAATCAAAACTTACGAATTCAAATTCAGAGTTTCATTAGAATATTAAACACATTTGTCAATGAAGTCATGACACAACAGAAAAAGTATATTTCAGTAATAATTAATTTACTTACCATAGATCTAGTGTATTGATGAAGAAATGGGCTAACATCGGGTTTTCCAAGCATGGTTAAACTTTCAAGAACATGTTGTTTTGGAAGAATGTCCGGAAAACCCTATAAATTTCGATCAAATTATTGCTTCAGAACAGGAATTAGAAACAATTGTTTACGTTATATATATGTATATACCAAGATCACTTAAGGATAAGGGGTATATTCAGTAATAGCATTTCAAAGTTGGCGGTTGGTTGGCTATTAGTTTACTACCACCCATATCATGTTGACCGAAAAGTAACACACAATCGTCTATGAAAGAAGACTAAAACAGTAAAAGGGAGAGGAAGAAACGTAACAGCACTGCTAGAATGTGTACACATTAAGCGTTAAATCTAAACATCACAACATTGAAAATCATTCTAAGAATGTTACATAGCTGGCTTTATCGAAAAATATGTGTATTTCTTACAACGATATTAATCATTTGACATATAATAGATGGGATCTGGCTAACAGTGGAATAAAGGATGTGTTTCGTCCAATATTTGACTCGTCAGCTAGATGTACTTGCATCCTGGAGTTGCTGCTAAGTCAGGGACTCGAACCCAGTACCGTTTACTTCGAACGCTATAGCATTATTCACTTGACTACTGAGTTCAGATAGCCACTGACTTACGAAACCCGGTCTCGGAATGAGCACAAACCCTGGGATGCAAGTATATCTACCTGATGAGACCCGAATAGGACGAAACATGCATTCTGGATTCCACTGTTAGCAAAATTATATTTATCATACATTAAATTGTGCTACAATAGCTAGGTGATTCGCACAGGATGTAAATATTCCAACTCAGACTGATCAAATTACAGTCAAAATATCAACAAGGGGATAATCGAAACCACTTTACATTGAAAGAAATCTGATTAGTTTTATTTTTCAATTAACAGTAGAAGTTACCTGACCTAAATTGACCGGTTTGTATTTAGCCACTGCATGATTAATTTCCACCCTGCTCAAAATAAAAAATCAACACAATTACAATAAACGATTAAAATATAACTTAGATTACAAGCAAATGAAACAATAATGATAGGTACAAAAAAGCAAAGGTTTCATCGTGAATAGATAACTAGAAAAAGAGGTACTCTGAAAGTATGAAGTGTAGGAGTGTTGACTTGCAGCAGTGCACTTAGGATCAACTTCTGAGAGTTAGAGTAAAGGCCTACACTGAGAGGTAATGATGGACTAGCATAATACGTTAGGTTATAAATAGTAAGATGAAACCACAGCATTACTTCGTGAAATGATTATTAAAACAAATCATATCATGAGCTATAGACGTTCTGGTTAGAGTTCGAAATAATTGTAATCAATGTCTGGAATTCACGGATGGCATGAATTTATATCGACTGTAATACAACAACAGGATTTGTTTCCAAGACGAGTAGTTCATATTTTTCATTTTTAAATTTCATATGTTCCTTCTAAACCAGAATTCCTTTGTTCAGTTTTCGCTATCATTAGAATTAAAATTTAAACTTTATCGTTTATCATTCTATTGATTTTCCTTTGCTGTTAAGTGGGGATATATGAACTGACAGAAATTTGCACCAAATCATATGTTCTTGATGAATAACTGAGAAGCAGAGACAAGCAGATAGAACGTATAAGTCAATAGAAACATAGACATCTTCTAGACGTATAGCTCCCAACGTATCGTTGGATTCAGTGAAAAGAAACGAAACGAAATGAACATCCAAGACACAAGTAGATAAAAAAAATAATAACTATGGTTGAAATAAACCGATAAAACGCGGAATAAATGCAATTGTTTTTACCTTTGAAGCATGCCACCAGCATTAGTTTTCTAAAGACTCCAAATACATCATGCTGACAAGTTACAACTAACACTAAACCTATGTCCAGGATTTTCTCTTTAATATCTCCAACTACTTAATATCTCAACACACTGTGAGCAACCACGAGTCACTAAGATCAGTGCGCACATCGCAAATTTTGGTCGATCGAGTTCACTCAGCATTAAAGATTAGGCAAGCATAACGTTAGTCACTACAAAGTAATCAATTCATATACATCTTAATAGTGAATGCTCAAAGCTTTAAATCCAGGTTCATAAGTTTAAATTAGCTAACAGAGAATACACTCTTGTATTTGCACACTTATTGCAATTATCAAAAGTCGGTCAAATATTAAGAACATGAACAAGTTGGTGAAAGTTAACGAGTTTCTTTTTAAAGCAAAGAACATTTCAAATGTCTAGTTGAATATATAGATACATACCAAATACTGGGTTTTTGCTTCAAAATACGAGCAGCTGGAAGAATCATAGCAGATCGTGTTTCATTAAGCATATCTGTACAATTCTCTTTAGCTTAATTAGAATAATAAAACAGAAAAGATATGCCATTAATAATATTACACTAATACACATAGATAGTCAATAAATTAGTACATATGATTCTTAATAAACAGCTAGACAAACAATAAAGGATCAGGAAAATACTTATACTGAATAATGTTTACAAACATCAGTAATCCAAAAGTCATATTAACTGACCACATATACATGAAAGGATAGGTGTTCACGAATTAAGACTATTATTCATTACCGAGTCAAATTCGTGTTTTGCATAATCTCAGTAGGTTTTTGATCACTGCAACTGTCATTTTGTAGTTGCTCGAGACGAATCTTCGGAAATCAAAATTGTTTACCATAAATATACCTAAGTTTCTCAGTTGACACATAATTAGTCGTTAACAGGTTTGCTAATTGCATGTTGTTACAAACTTATCAACTTGGATAAACGCGCTGTGATGTTTATGACTTTTCTTATTGAAATTAAAGGTCGATGTTGGTTGATACTAATCACAAGCTACAGCGATTATTTTGCTCAACAGCTGGCAATGAGAGTTGATCAAAATCATATTTTGTAAGAACAGATAACACAGCCATTCAAGCTATTTTACTACGAAAAAATGCAGCCTTCGTTGTTTTTTATACATTCCTTTTAACTTTTCCTATTTCACCCAACTATTCTTTTCTAGACATAGCTCGCTCTTTGTAGCATCGAAAATGCCAAGCATTCTATTAGTTGCCTTGTACCACAGTTCAAATTTACTAATGATAATTTCGGGTGGTGATCCGTCCAATGTCGATTGGCTTTTTACTAATATATCAACAATCGTACAAATTTGTTACAACCAGTTTTCTTCCTTCCACATAGATTATTAAAAAGAGAATAGTATAAGCTTACGAAAATATTAATTTGCTTAATAAACTTGTTAGTTGTGAAAAATAAAACTACACAGTAGACTGAATCATCCATCGTTTTGTGTTTTCTGCAAATTATGAGTGCAACCTTTCTTATATTGATAAACTAAACACGATCTTGAAAGGTGACCTAGTTTCTTTTGAAAAATTTTGTCACGTAACAGGCATCGAGAATTTCAACCCACTGGTTTAAATTAAACAACTCAGAAATAATTTAATATATAAAAGATGAAATGTGGCTATCAGTGCAATCTAGAAAGAGTGTGTCATCCTAGTTGGGAACTGTTAGATCAATGTACCTGCATCTCAAAGTGGGATTCGAGTCCCGGGACATAAACTCTGGGATACAGGTACACTCATTTGACGAGTAAAAAATAAGGCAAAAACGCATCCTGGATCCTATTCCTAGTCACATTGCATCTACTCTATATTAACTTGTGTCAGTATAGCTATATCGAGGAAATTCGCACAGAATGCACATGTGCCAATTAAGACTGGTCAAATGTCAGTCAAAATATCAACAGGATAATCCAAATCACTTCAAATGTAATCAGAAATAACCGTAGTTATGATCTTAAAATCAGAATCAGAGAGAAGATAGCTGCTTAAGAAAATCAGTTCGTGCCTAAGTTTTATACAGCTATGCTTCAATATTTCTGAAAGTATAGGCACTACATGGTTGATAAAAATGACAGAACCAACTGATTTAGTTGAAAATTCGAAATTCCATACTGTTGTCCAGTTATTCGTTATGAGTGAGGATCTAACCTTCTATCATTCCATTTAATAGAAATAATTAAATCAAGTTTGAAGCAGGGCAGAGTTTCGTATCAGCCTAGTTCGTTCTTCTGGCTCTAGAAAAGGCGGTAAGGATAAATCGATGGGTAGATGCATTAACTGATAAATCAACAACTTGAGATAATAAAAGCAATTAACATGTCATAATCAACAATAACATTCGTACCTGCCCATTCACTAATGAACAAAGCAGTCAGTTGGGGGGTTAGTGCGTAGCATACCGTGTATCAGTATCAGATTTCGGATACCGCACGTGCCCTTAGAATTTATCATTAAGGTTAAAGGAAGAAAAACTACAGACGGCGGTCCATATTATAATTTATCATAGTAATTCGATTGTCAATCTCAAAAGTATTACATTCCGAATAATAAAAGAAATAATATGCAGATTATTAAGAAAGAAATGATGACTTTTTGCTCAACATACAAATAAATCGAAGTCTTTCTCGAACACGTTCACAATGTCTAAATGATATTCCTTCATGAAAGCAATAAATAGAATGATTTGTAAATACGATTTAGCGGTACCATAGATGAGTGGAGAATATAACCAATACACACACATTCACAAACATGTCGAATCAAAACAGTTTGAGCACTGAACAAAACAAGGAAATGACTGAAATAAATGAAATATTAAAAATAAACAATTGTTTTAGAGTTTTTATTGAAATTTCAAATATTTATTAACCATGATGTGTGGATTAATACCAGGAATATGACCAGCATATACAAACACTTTATAAATTCAGTAGAAAATACTATTTACAAAGAAAATGCACGAGAATAATAATAATAACAATAATAATAATACTAAAAATAATAATAAGAGTATATTTAAATTGAGTAGAAAAGCAACTGATAATTATAAACAAAATAGAGTATACAGGATTCTTATTGTCACTTTACTACTGTTACTATTATTACTACTAGATGTTATCATATCGGCAATGAAAGCCCAATACTGATTTGTAGAAATACAAATACAAGCGAACAAATGATGGTTCCGTTGATGAGTATACATGGAACAGATAGTTTATTATTGTTACTTGACTCTTTTCATTCTCTTGTGAGATTTTTCTTTCATATGTTTTTTGTGCTTCTTATGAACTGATGATGTTGAAGGTGAACGACTCAAAGAAGATCTCCTGCTACCACTACTATAATGCTTATTTCTTTTCGATTTTCTATGACTGTGATATTCAGATAGACGGCAATTTTTATAATTATTTTTAGACCGAGATGAATGATGATGCCCTATTGGAGAAGAGGACCGTGAATGTGAAGAGATTGAGCTAGAGGATTGTCTTCGCGTTTTACGTCGATCATGATGGTGGTGATGACGATGGGTAAGAGATGAAGAGTCGTTGGAAAGTGATCTAAAATGCAGAAAAGTAAACACAAATTAGAAGTTGAATGAAAAGTGCTTGATATCTCCAGTTAATAATTGGTAACAGCTTGACAATTCACAAAGATACTTAACACTTAATAGCATTGAAATTTCACGTCCTCCATTCCACCACGTTTAAATCCACCTAAACAAAAAAAATTCTCCATAAGTGTCAACAACAAATCAAGTAATTTTGACAGTGTAATAAGAAGACGAAGATTATCAGAACTGTGACATATTAGCGCAATACATTTCGAACAATCTGATCACATATATACTTGTTAAGAACATTTATATATAGAAATAAAAGGTCAACTAGACTAGAAATGAAGGGCAAGAGGAGATAATGATAATATTAGCTTATTATCCAGAGTGATGAGGCTTCAAGATGTTTTCACATTACTTCTTTATTATCCTTGTCTCCTCTTACCCTTCATTTCTAGTCTAGTTGACCTTCTATTTTTCTATATAAATGTTCTTAACAAGTATATGTGTGATCAAATTGTTAGAAATGTATTGCGCTAATATATAACATAGTTCTGATAATCTTCGTCTTCTTATTACACTGTCGAAACTTATCAAACGGACTAATCCCTAATAGCGTTTCGGCATAAATCTAAATCCTAACCCGTATCATCAACTATAAATCATAATCCTTATTCTTCACACTGCTTTATAACCCTCATTTATCTCTAGTCAGTGGGTGGATTTTCTCAAGGTCACTTTGACACTGCCCAAAGGTCGTCCATAAATTATGGTCTCACCTTGACTTTTTTATGGAACATAAATTTACCCTGAAAATCTCGTTGTAGTAAACGAGAACACCAGTGAGGATAGCCAAATGAATTTTAATACGACGTTACAGAATATCTTAGTAAATACTTCATTTTCAAAATATCTATCAATTGTCTCATACTTTGCTATTCGTTCGTTTCCAATCACTCATTGTTCTCGTTCTCTTCTCTTCTATTTTCTCAACCTTATGCCTCCAGGTATTCCACTTTCGACTGGTGATACATACTAGTTATATCTGTCGACATCAGTGGCACATACCACACTGTCTTCTCTACTAGCCATGTGGATTATCAACGTTGAGGCGTTGTTATGTATTAGACATCTGGTCTATTCGAATTACCATCAGTTGGGTTATATTAGAAAAACATTCAAACTTATGTAAACAGAATTTACCGTCGACCAAATATCGATATTTCACATACAGAATAGATATGTCTGATATAATGATTAGCAAGCATAGAAAGCATAACAGTATTAACACCAATTTTCATAAGCTTAAAACATGATGTATATCGACTCACTTATCAATATTAACCAAGAGCAATCAACACGTAAATTAAAATAAATAAGCACCGAATGCACTTTCTTATCGTCAATATTACCGATAATAATTACAGTGGAAATTAAACGACTATTTATAAAAATTATTTATTGTTCGATTGGGGGTGAGCAATATGGCTATAGCAAATTCCATATTTTGGTAATTTCTGAGAAATAAGGAATTTTCAAAAAGTTATGATTTCGTGACAAATAAATGTAAAGCTGGACCATATTAGCTAGTAATCATTCAAAAATAAGCTTACTTTACTGTAGAAGAACGTCCACGATCACTGTGACTATTATTATCCACCGGACTAATAAGTCGACCTACATGACGCCATAAAGTTTTTTGTAAATCATTACTGGTTTCTCCGGGGTTAAGAAATACATGTAGAAAATTACAATGAAGGTCTCCTTTAGGACATTTACCTCGATGATAAAGACCTGAACAAATAAGTAAAGATAAGACTGATATTTATTACTGAATGAAGAGGATAGGTTTTGTTGTTATGATATAAACGGGGAAATGAAACTATCAAAAGGTGATACTACAATTTTGTTATAAACAACACTTCACGAAACGAATGATTAACACCCCAATATCTGATTGTATACAGATAAAAACTAGGGGAAAATGTTGGGCAGATTTCTCTCGATTGATAGTACTAGACATTACACAAACCTAATATGTATGTGTTAACGCAACAGTTGATCCCAAGTTACGATCATTACAATTAGTTGCTAATATTTGCTCTTCTTACTCTGAAATGATTATGAAGTATAGAATAACTGGTTGAGCAACAACAAGCATAAACTACACGACTTTGAACTATTTTCAATTGTTAAGACCAAATATATGGAGATCTTTAAAAAGAATTTAGTTACACAAGTATTTAATTAATAACAGTGCGAAGTCAATCAGTAGCCATAAAAACAATGTCGATGGTCTAGTACAAATCAGTAACTTATAATCCAGTTGTATGACAGAAGTTTATTTCATGCACAAAATGAAGTCAACTACTCAAATATTTACGGTAAAATCAATAAAAACCTAATGAGATAAATTAATTTCTAGGATAATTACTCTCAGTGTCAAATCTGTAGCACACATGTCTTCCCCCCTTGTCCTTCTTTGTGCATTATTATAATACTTAATAATCTTCAGTAATTCATGTTACTACCATCTATTTTTGAAAGCCGATGACGAGCTGCTAGTCACTAAAGTTAGTATAATTATATTTATCCAGTATTTCGATTTATTTTCTCACTCGTAATTGAGTTGCTTCCCTGAAACCTGAAGAGCCACTACAGCCATCATACTAATGTACAGGTGTTTATAAACAGTTGTTTACTCAAGATACTTCAGATCCGTTGGCCAGACACTATCAGCAATAACCTACTGTAGCAAAGAACATACCAGCTTCCAGTTGAAGGGGAAATTACGAAATGACACTGGAAATGGATAAACGCCGCTATATGGAAATCATCAAGATCCATCACAAGCCAAGCCGTAATTTGGAATCTTCAGGACAAAAGAGGAGATAGGCTAAAGAAAATGTGGCGCCGAAAGTCGGAGGCAGACACCAAAAGAATGAATAGCACTTGGCGACAACTGGAGAGGAGAGCCAAGGATAGAGTAGGCTAGACATCCCTAATTAGAAGCCTATACCCCACGAGGAGTAACAGGCATCAGTAAGCACATATATTACACACTGAAACTATTTACACTGAATAGCCCACCTACCCTGAATATGTTTGGTTTATTTCGTTAATTCCTAATACATGTGTGTTGTTCTCTAATTAATAGTACGTGTCGTAATTTCGTCCTTTGGAGGACAAACCTCACTTTTGACTGTATTCCTGAATGCGTAAACGGTATCTGGACAGCACACATCTTGCGGTCAGTTAACTTCATTGGTTATTTTTATACAACCAGCCCCTCCTTGATAAATTTGGACAGTGCAAGAACAACAAGGTCAGCAAAATAAAATGAATTCATTTTATTTCACAACTTATCACCTGAATTCCAAACAGGCTAAATTTGCAAGGTGTAGTATGATTGTAAACAAAAGTTTAGATGTTTTTGAAAGGGAACTGAGATTTATAAAAAGTACAGAATACAAAATATAGTATCAAAGAACGTTAAGATAGGTTTTTACTGTCTTTAGGGTGACCCTTTCTATATTTTGCAATAAATTTCTTTAAGTATCCATTTTTCTTGAGGTTCTTTTAAATTTTGGTGGAGTTTTGTTCTCTGAGCTGGATGGTTTGGTCGTGGAGCTTTCATCGTTCTTCTGAACGACATCATCAGCACAAACTTCAGATAGAAGTGAAGTGTTTGAATTTCTCCATATGTGTCTCAAAGCTTGTTCTGTGTACCTCGACGTTGAACGATGAAAGCTCCACGACCAAACCATCCAGCTCAGAGAACAAAACTCCACCAAAATCATCCACCTGAGCTACAAATCTTCTCCACGTTCTTTTAAATGAATGCTAATTCGTCATTTATTCTGTTGTTTGGACAAAGCACCCTATTTTCATAAAATAGCATTTTAACCAGAAGTCGTTTGCAACTTGAAGGAATAAACTCATTTTATTCTGCAAACCTTGGTGTTCTTGTGCTGCCTAAACTTACTGGTTAAGTTGTTTTCCTCAATAGTACCAATTCCAAAAAAATCCTGTATTTTGATATCGAGAACTTCAAGTATTATTTATCTGCTTGATCATAATCTTGGAAGGAATTCTATACTTAGCATGATAATAAAATAGGTATATGAAAGAATATGGAAAAGGACACTGTTCAACCCACCACAAATAGCCTCTCTCCAACCACCGCCCAATCTAACCACAGTACACGTTAGTTGACGTCCAGCAAACCAACGACCATTGCAAGCTTCAGCAGCATCCCATGCTGCACTTGGACCCCTTGAGAATTCAACATAAACCGCACCACGAAGATGATCAGCTAAATTGCGACATGTTCGAATCACTGAAATTTTGCCCCATCTAGATTCTAATTCCATACGAACATCATGGTAGAATTCATGATAATCTGAGAGTAACTGACTCTCATCTACTTCAAGACCAGAATCTGAAATTTTATTATTTAAAAATAAATTTAATTAATCCGTAATTACAATTAATGTGCATGAAACCTAAAACCTATAATGCTATTTCTTATTAATGAATGACTAAAACCACATCTAGTTTTTGGCAGCTTAGTAATCAAAATACTTGACTTTCAATCACAATAGGTTGTAGGTTCGAACCCTTCCTCACCTAATTAGATTTCGACAGCTAAATAATGGTATTGGCCTTTATACAAACAGTATACCTTAAAGTTGATCATATAAGTCTGTATTCGATAAATGAGTTAAATTATCTCTATTATTCATAAATTTCGCCTAAACACTATATTTGTTAACTAAATTATTTTACTATTAAAATAAAACTATTCGTTGAAAGTACCGACCACTGAAAGAGTATAATCTACCCGGCCTACTTACAAATTACCATTTATTTTGTGAACATTCCACAGAATGCAAACCATTGATGATGTACTACAACATGCTGGATCGTTAATAGTCCTATGCATATTTAACTATTTATCATATATGGCGTAATCCTAATATAAATTAATGTATACAAACAGCAAGATACACTCAATATAGGAATTATGAAGATTGTGGAGTCCTTTTGAGATCACGAATCGACCAAAGTCAAAAGATTGTTGGAAATCTAGAAGTACTAGATAGCCCTATCGTCCTCGAACTCCCCAACAGTGAGCATCCACGACTCTGTCATAGAAGACGAAACCAACGGCTTTCAGTCTTATGTGCAAACGAGTAAATCCGACATTTTTTAACAAAAAGAAAATTTTGCCTTCAGTAGGCAATGAAATCACAAACCTTGATCCTCTGAACCGGTATGTTTTGTTAAATCTAAATGATAGTGTGTGAACATTTTAGGAATTTGTAAAACTAAACAAGAATTATCTATTGGTTCGTCTAAGCCACCAACATCTTGATCATCAGCAATATTGAACGATTCAATAGTATCGTCATATGGACTTGGATATTGATGAAGACGAGAACAACTACAATGAATGAGTGAAGAGAGGAAAAAACAAAGTATAACCATTCTTGGCATTGATTTGTAACAACTTGAATGAGTAACATAAATAAACATGAACAAATAGTAAACAATATGCTCAATATTAGAGAAAAAGAACCCACAAATGTGTTGCAAGAGAGATCGATATTCTGAATGTTATAGAAAAGAAATATTTGATAACATAGTAAATGAAATATGGCTAGCAACAAAATCCAGATTGAGAGTTTCATCCTATCTGGGATTCGACAGTTGGGTGAACATGCTGTGTTGATATTCTGAATGTTAAGAGAACACATAATTTCATTCCTTTATTATCTATCATAATCACTGAAAAAAGGTGTGATGAAGACTATTAACACACTTATTTCAGCCCATCTAGTCCAATACACACAATTTAGTCCTTTTCAATAATCTGACATGTTAACAGTAATCTGTTGAGAACGGATAAACTCTAAATTTAGTAAATGGCAACAGCAACATCTTTGATAACTTTTTAAAACAAAGTTCTGCAACCAAAATGAGGCATGTACAACTACTTTCTTTACAATGGCGAGCCTCTAACATTCATTTAAAATATAATCATCCCTTTTATAAAATGATGCCATCATATGCGTAGTGTATACGAGGTGTATGCTACTTATGCATGTCGACATAAGTAGTACATAACACCAATCAGAAGTAGAAGGCCTGGCAACAGAAGGTTGGGAAGATCGAATAAAAAAGAATGGGGACAGAGAGCAATTGTTATGGTAATGAATGAATGATGAAGTTTGAGACATTTGATTCAGGATTTGCAAATGAAGTATTGGACGTATAGTTCATTTTACCAAGAACATTTGGTTGTCCTCATCTGTGTTCTTGCTCATTACATATATATTTTCTTTCCCTTTTGATAAATCAGGATAAGTTGAGTTAACGTTTTATTCAACTCGGTGTAACATTTTATGGCATGTTTTGTTTTCAGTGTGACATTTTATTCATTATGATATTGGGGTTATATTTTCCAGCACAATATTGCTTCAGGTAGATATATTTGAAACAATTAGCTATAAATTCCGTTCAGTATGACAGGGGTGAACTTTCGTTCTGTTCCTACACCTTTGAAATAGTTAACTCATTTTATTTTCTATTAGCATGGGGATTTGTGGTGTTTATAGCATTTTCACAGTTGAAATCATGAGTCGATCTCAGATAGACCACCATAGAAAACCCAAAAGAACTAAACGACCGTTTCGTCTTAGTATGGGACTCCACAGCAGTGCACATTCACAATCCCACACCAGAAACCCGAACACAGAACCTTCGGTTTGGCGCGCGAACAATTAACCCCTAGACTACTGAGCCAACATCCAGAAGTGTCAATTTCTAATTTTAATCAATCGATGATCTTGCTTAACCCTTCATCCTAATTCATACATAAGGTGATCTCTGTTCACAAAATCTGGACTGTTTATCCAATAATATTAATATTCCCCTCACGCGACGGCACGTACAACCTGATTCAAGCACATGTTCTGCACTAGTCATTTGAATATTTTAAAAAACAACATCAAAAAGCTTATTTTAGTGAAGTAAAAATTCTTATTTAGATATTCATTTTTCCTAAAAAAAAGATGAATGGAGAGAAGTAATACTTTTTGCAATTATTATAGTGATATGTGGTGTCCGAGAGTTGAAACACAATCTTCCTATGCGCGAGTCCAATCGGGTAGTGGAATGAAAGGACTGAGAGTGAGAAAGTTTACTGACTAACGCGATCAGCCTTTACATATACGCATATGTAGACCACCGGTAGTACATTTCATCATGGTCATATATAAATGTCTTACAAACATAACAAAATCAGTATCAATCAAGTGATGATGTGTTCGATAACCATTATTATTAAAAAATCAAAAGTATTCATGAAAATGATGACAGTGTACTATGAATAGAGATATACCACGGACTACAAGTCACACATAAACAGATGTCACTCACAGAAAACCATATCGACATGCTCCTGTTTTACGGAAAAAACTACATTTTTCCATCACTGTAGAAACAGTGGGACCATATGGCACTTGCTCAATTACTGTAGGGATAGGTACGGGTGGTGGGGGAAGATGCCAAGGTGGAAGGTCTGGAGACTGCTGTTCATGAACATCCTAAGAAACGAAACCAATATTTCTATGAATGCGTAAAAGTTAGGTGATCAACATGATGTATAAACACCTCACATTAAGTATCATGCTTAGATTTGCAAATACACATCACAATATTGTATGTTTTCATTCATGACGTCCAGTTTATTTCTTCGCTCCCGGTAGCTTATCAATCTCAAACTATTCGTTCAGAAAGACGATATTTGCTAAGGTAATTGTTACAAAATAACTCACAAAGTACTATTGTGACTAGTACTAAACGAGAATCTGATGATAAAATAATAAAAGTTTTATTTCTGAAATTGTACCAGAAATAAGTACAGTGCATAATAGTTATATAACTGTTCATGTTGCGGATTTTCTAGAAATCTTGATCAGACCAAACAAGATTAATTGAAAATATCGTGATGTCATGTTCAGTGCAAATTTAGGAACTAGGATCTCTTTACAGGTTATTCTAAAGATGACTACAAGAACAACATAAAAATATTTTGTTATTAACTATGACAACAAAGTAATAATATATCCGTCTGATCAATATAACGAAGTATTATCAAAGGATACTTAGAAAAAAGCTTCGTGTTCAACAAAATACAAAGTAACTAATAAGTTCTATGTCGGAATCCACGTACTTTATTTATCAGTGAATATTTAATGACGACAGTAACTCAATGTAACAGTTGGAGCATAGTTGAACTTTACTCCAAACCCCGGGACGTACAGCCTCCAACCAGAACCAGTCGAACCCATTTGGATTACAAATTCTATTATTCGAATTATTAATATGTTTATCCAATAAAACAAATACTTCCCTTTATTCATGACTAAGGTTGTATGTTAAGAAAATTTTTCGGTAACAAGACAAACACCAAAAGCTATATATATATATATATATATATATATATATATATATATATATATATATATATATATATATATATATATATATATATATATATATATATATATTAAAGTATACACGGAAACAACCTTTCTAGCCATTTTTATCACGAATGCTCAGTTTACAACAGTCATCTTATTCCTGAGATCAATAAAAGTGTATGTCTGCTCTTCTCATTCTAGTACATGCATTTCCAAGTCATGAGTGTTCAGGTGTATGGTTGTCACTAGTAAATTGAATCGGATCCTAACCAGAGAAAGCCTTAGAACACTAAGGTAATTGAGTGTTAAGAAAACTTGTATTAGATAATACTAACCTAAATTCACATCCCGATTGACAATCTGTTATCGTAAAATGGTTATCACAGAGTAATATTATGCAATCGTGAAGTGACAGTTGACACTAACACTGGAATTTTCAGAATACATGACTAATGACTTAATCAGTTGAAGTTTAAAAGCAGAGAAATACGATTTTATATAAAGGCAATCCACTAACTATCAATTTTGGATAAGTAATATGAACAACTTATGGATAAACGTATTTCAAGTAAAGTACACATTGTTAGCATTTTCCATGGAAAATGCAAGTTTCACTAAGTTCATATCTAGAAAAAAACCACCTGATTAACTGATAAAAATAACAAAGTAATTATGATATTTCATCATCATGAAACAATGAGAGAGGATACGTTAATATTCTTGTGAATAAAAAAGAATGATAACCATAAGAACTCCATGGAAAACCTGTGTTTTTGACTCAGGAATAAATTTCTTGGATTCCATTTGTTTGCTTTCCCACTCTGCTTTAATTTTACGCTAGAAAGAAAAAAAAGCAATCTACTATATAGCAAACAAATATATTGGTAAACTGATAAATTGACACAATCACATTTTTATTAAAAATAATTATTATCAATGCATGCTTCGTATTGAAAGGAGTTAACTTTAACTCAAGCATTCGTTTAGTACATATCACTAGATCTCACAGGAAATGTATGGCTAAAACCGAAGTATATTAATTAGATTACCGTTTTCGTCGAACAGCAGATAGGTTGTTAGACGCACCTCTGAGTAGCACACACTAACCAGTACCAACTCTGACGATAAAAGATACAACCAAACTCTATCAAAAATGATCAGCTCTAATAAAAAGAAACGACAGTAATTTACATTTTCTTCAATTGACTAACTATTACTGCATAATGATGTTCGCCAAAATCAGATTATGGGCTCTTGTAGAAGTGGGGACTTGGGAGATTTTTACATAACACACATATATCCCTTTGTTACATGCAAGGGGATCGAGATGAAGAATCGATTTATGATAACTGACAGAAAGCCGAAAACACTGTAACGATTTTTTAACTAACACAACTCATTTCAAGTCGTGATAATCCCAAATAGAAGCGATATGAAATAAATGTACCATGAGGAGCTACTAGTGATGTGCTATATTTTACACAGAACCAAAGAACCGTTCAATACCAGCACAAATCACACGAAATGAGGTCTTAATAGTAGTAAGTCAGACATGAACAAGGTAATTTCGGGTATTGTTGGAGGGCGGTTGCCAAGTTCCAAGTGCAGTGGAAGTATATTCTTTCTCGAGAAACCTGAAAATGAAACTGGATTAGAAGTGACCACAGAGCACAGTGAGAAACTGCTTGGGGTCGGTCACACATGACCATTTTATGAGTCAGCTCCGTCACTTCAAGAGGTCTTACTTTCGGAGACGGAAATCCGTAGGATAAGGTGGGGTGCAACATTTTCGAGGTTAGCCATTTCTAACCCTTTCCTTCCTTTGTGAGAAGGCAGAATCGCTACAGATGCTGGGTGTCATACCTCTGTACAATCAGCAATACTACTTTGCCCGTGAACCTTAAGTTCCCGTTTTTACTCTTACCTTCAACTAACCTCCCTGGTATGGAACGGCTTAAAGGAACAATCGTTTCAACCATTATAACTCGATTTGGTCATTACAATGGGCAAACATGGCCATCATGTCACGGTAGCAGCTATGGTCAGGATAATAATAAGCAGTCTATAAACTACTAAAATTATTAATTACCATACGCTAAATCAATTTACCCAAACTTTACGAGTCGATAAATTACTTTCTGTTCCTGCCTAGAATAACAAGAAACCGTTTATCCACAAAACACCATAATTTCGACTATGAATAATATAGGACGAAACATAATTTATTGATTATATTGGAACGATTACAAGTAGTAAAACTTTTCCCAAGGTAACACGATAATCACTCACACAATATAATAGTTTTCTTGAAAGGAGAACTAGATTTGGATCTCCTAGTCACTTACGACGTATTCAACAGATTGCTATAAAAAGTTTTATTTTCAGAATACTGACGGTGAATTGATTAACTACGTTAAAGTCCGCGGTAAAGCTTTCCATAAGAAGTGATAAAAGCGCATAAAATCAGAGACGCCTGAACTGAAAGATTGTTCCGTTCTGAATATGACTTACAAATTTCAGTTAAACTAGTTTGATAAAAATAAGGAATTAAAACTTTTTCCAAAACAAATAGATGCTTTTTAGTGAAGCTACAAGTAATTAAAAGTCCCTGACATACATTTAAAGTTTAACTGGAACGATAGCTCGAGTGGGAAGGCATAACTAAGATCGTTCATGTCCAGTTAAGTAAGAGGGTACAATTAATTTTCATTCTAAACTAATAAAACTGATTTATAACTAACATTTAATGTTGATTACAATGTGGCTAACAAATGTTAGATTACCCTTGTGATAAAAAGTGAAATTCATTAACATACAGATTCATGGATATGTTGTGACCTGGGCTTTAAATACTACTTGGCTGTCTGAATATAATTGAGGTACGGTGCAAATAACAATTTGCTGAAGGTGATTTTAACTCAGCTTACTCCAGCAATAAATGAAAGGTTTAACGACTAACCAATTAGGTTAAAAAAGAAGTCTCACCAACCCCGATGAGCTGATGGCTAACAAAATCTCAGCATGGATACAAAATGCCTGTGGGATTTAGCCATCTGAGACTCCCAACTGGGATAGACGAAATTATAATGTCATTGAAATCATGAACCGATTAATGTTAGACCACCACTAAAACCTGAAAGAACTGGACGACTGTTTCGTTTTAGTATGGGACTCCTCAGCACTGCGTACCCACGACCCTGCACGCGGAAATCGAACGCAGGACCTCAGATGTTGCATACGGACGCTTAACCTCTAGACTACCGAGCCGCCATTCAAACCAGTTAATGTCTGACTGTGAACAATAGTCTTCTGAGGTGGTCGTACGTACACATAATCATAGGCTACCCAAACGTATAATGCTGACTGACAAAATAGTAAATCGTAAAACTGTAATGGGTGGTGCGAATAAGACACTGACTCATCGACTGACAGACAACTGTGATGTGGTGTGGATGTCTAGGTTAGGATTCACAAGATAATTGTAATCTACAATTGTAAAACGCAGTTAGCATCGCTCAAAACTAACTTCAGCGACATAGGAGTATTCTATTTGTTAATTTCCTTTAAATGCTTAGCATATTATAATCGCAAACTCTTCATTTATTTGTTTTGAAATCTATACCAAAACCTTGTCCAATCGATCTGAAGTATAACACTAGACTAACAGTGCAAAACATGGAAATAAAATAATTATGGTCATAATATACATCTAGCCTAACCAAATAAGAGTTGAAATGATGAATACATAAATTTTGAAGGCCAATCTCTTAACATTTTAGCATCTATTATATACATGAACGCTGAAATATATATGTACTTGTATTAAGATAATTTAACAATTTGAATATATTATGAAAATATGGAAATAAGTCACAATACTGGTAGATTTCAGATATTATATACACTAGCGAGTCATAAAAAAGAGCTATTAATAAAAGTCGATATGATTATACCTGAGCCTCCTCCTCGCGTTGCTTTAAGAGGATTTTTTGACGATTATTTTCTTCCCACTGACGTTGTGCCTCCCTCTCACGTTCTTGCCAAAGTTCCTCATTACGCTCACTATAAAAAGTTACATTATAGTTCAAATTGTACCGTTCTTTGGCTTCAAGTGCGGCTAACTCCAACTCCTTAGCCTGTTGTGCTTGATAAGATGGAGAAAGTTGGAGCCGACTTAGCTCTGAAATAACGTAAAGAAATAAAAAACGTAGTATACCTTCAATCTCCCTCTCGATATTTTCCTTGGCTAATTTTTGACGTTTACGCTTTCTTTTTAACTTCTTAAGAAAAGCACGTCGGGCACGATGTCTGATCATAAGCAAACCAATCATGAATCAAGCACATACGACATGTGAGACAAATCTATTATCCGTTAGACATTCATTATTTGCGATTCATTAGGAACGAACCAAACAATTGGATGAATCTAATTCGGAAACCTGTTAAAAATAGGAATAAATGCGACTATATATATTGTGCGAAGGTTGATAACACTGGCCAGTTAAACAAATGATTGTGAGAAAATTTGGCTTAATGGCTTAGTTTAGTCAGGAAAACTTCGTAATAGCAACCTTGCCATTAATAGGCACGTTGATATTTTCTGATCTGAGCTGTCAGAACTGAAATCAATGCATTTTCACCCAAGGGTTCAGATTGTTGTTTCCGGCTACTTTCGACTGAGATTCACTCATTTGATAATTTGTAGCGAATATTCAGACAAAGATGAGGATTGTAGTGTAATAACCAAGGTTAGCAGTAATTCATTAATACGTAGCCCTCGGTGTAAACAGCACTAATCACAGTTTGGCAATTAGTGCACAAATGAATCGCCCAGTCATAATGCTCATACGAGTATAGAACAACAGAAAAAAACAATGTTAGTCGTTCATCTGCCAAAAAACGATCATCTCTATTATCTACGGTCTACATTGGTAGTTCTCCATTGAGTTGAAAAAAGGAGTGCATTATTCCACGTTTTGAGATATTCAACTTTCGTTGCGCTAATCATAACAAAAGCTTAAATTAGAACTTATTTTTACTGCCTTGAGAAATATGTGGGTTTGCGAAATACATTTCTACACCCTGATCACTTCGGTTTTTACTAGTTGACGTGTTTTTTATACAAGTCTGTCTATTCATAATTACCTAGAGTTAGGTTTGGTAATATTTTCGACAATGTTGACTTAACTGCCGTTTTGGTACATTTCAGGTTACTCTGATAATGGTAATTATTTTCCACTTTTCGTTATATTTTTTAAACTTTTTCTCGTCTTATCATACCTGTTAAAATGTTCATTCAAAGCTATCGACTATTGTCTCTTCTCTGTTGAAGAAGACGTGCAGTAAAATGTCGTAAAAGATGGTCCCATAAAGTCCGTGCCAATCTATCACCAGCCACGTATAAACTTCGCTCAAAACCACTTTCAACCTGGTTGTGAAAAATGATACCTAACTAAGGTGGTTCTCCTAAATGAATTCATGCAACTTCTCATTTTGATGAAATTTCGAAATGACGATGCCTCCTCGAAGAACCTGACGTTGGACGGGGAGACTATGAGTGTGGTCGCTAACGCCATCAACCCAGCTCTTACTTTAGATAGAATGGTTGAGATTTCCATTGTCAATACGCTTGAAGAGAAAAAACTCCTGTCCATATTATTGTTACGCATAATCGTAAAACGTCTTGCTTGATCAGAACCAAGAATCTACTATCCATCGAAAATGCACTTACTCTAAACACTTTTAATGAGATGAATGCGAGTGTATGATGTGCAAAGAACAAAATCCTTGCACGACAAATTAGGTAGCGTAAATGAATGAATTGGACGGAAAGTTAAAACGACAATAACGACTAAAGAAAACATTCCGTTAGTTAGTGAAAAAGGAAAAATAACGACAGTCGAAAGCCATTAACACGACTTTCAAACAAGTTATATCCGTCACTAGTTAAATTACTTAGAATATGGAGTCAAATGACAATGATTCTGCTATGTGGCATTCAAAAGATCTGTAGCGAAATCTGATAACCAAAATTTACTGCCGAGCCTTTGGGGGTACGTACTCTTTAAGCAACAGAACTCGACAAGTGGGGTGGAGGCGAGACCTGATCGAACAGCATCTTAAAGTTAGTACTCAGAAATAATGAGGAAAGAGACATTATACTAAATAACGACCGACCAATTGTAATTCGAACATCTACGTCGTCAGATTACTCACTAAGATTGAATCAAATGGAGGAATGATCTTACTGAGTTAAAATCTCGAACGCCAAATGGACAAACCAACATTGGAATTTAGAGTTTACGGGTAGTGAAGTCTTAGGAGCCAATGATCTCGAGAGACCCCCCTTAGACACTAAGCTACACAAACGCTCGTCGTCTTGGAAATAAAACGTTCGAGCTAAGTTTGATGGTGGGATAGTTAATTACCAGCACAGATAGTCACAGAAACATGGCTCATGACAGATGTAGAGTATTCGCAAATTATTGCAGGACAAGTCCGTACAACAAGTGGCAGGGTTATAAATCGTAAGAGAGAGGATACAATATTGTTCTGGAGACTACTTGTCGCGTACAATAAAGTGTAAACAATAGTTCAACTTGGCATGCTGACGACTTTGTTGGAAGTCTCATCTGCACATGAAGTAAGGCCGAAATTCGTCTCACCTTCGTGGAATTCAAAGCACCATGCACCGATTGTTTAGAGTTTATAACATCAGATGGATGTTTAGATGGCAGCCTACTGTTAACAAATATTTAATGGTTACTTGCACAATGTATTGCAAAACCGACACATTTCGACTTATAACATGGATCATCGTAAAACCTTGTTCTCATACACCATTATGACGACGCTACCAACAATCAGTACCTACATCCACCGACTAGCAATGATAATCCAGTATTACTTTAGGTTTCGGACACGTAATGTATAGCATACATCTGCTCCATACTGTCCCAATATTTGAGAAGCTTACATTCCAGCGGTCAGAGATTACGACGTTGCAAAAATTTTCCTATCAGCGTAAATGAGTTGACTAAAGACGAATGGAGTAAGTTTAAAGCCATGTTTGATGTAGTAACAACCCCGTTCATCCCATATGGGATGAACAAAGCCCTCTATCGTTCGATGGAGAAACCCGAAAGCGAATGAGAGGTAGAGAGTGTTTTTGAGACATTTTCCAGACAACGGGTTATGAAGCATTCAATTGTGAGTACCGAAATGTCAGAAATATGTGGCTGATTCGCACAACAGCGCGTAAGGTAAGGAAAACTATGGGCGTCCAGCGTCAGAATAAAAGTTTGACGTCTTTTTGACGGCGAAACTTAATCTCACCAAAAACAAGTAACCATACGAAAAATAAACGTCCAATACTTGAAAACTAGTTTAGTTACGCACAATTTTGAAAGTGAAACATGAATTTTTGGGTTCCAATATCCAGTAATTTGTGACAAACCTGTACAAACTAATTGATTATTTTATTCTCAACAATGTTTTATATCTTTGATAATGTTCAATGGACGATAGTATAGCTACTGAAATTCACTAGTTGTGGTTACAGTGTCAGTTATTTATATGTTTTTTTATCTTGTAGTCAGCGTGAGTGCATATATCTCAGGACAGTAGGGTTACTAGAACCAGCCTCTATTACATTATCAAGTAGGAAGTTGGATAGTTTTATCCGTCCCTATTTAGAGTACGGAAACATAGTATTTCCTCCCTCACTCCAAAAGGATAAGGTCACTCTGCAGCGTATCCAAAGGCGAGCCACGAAATCAACTCGAGGACTCAAATTTAGACCTTAAGAAGAGCGCCTCCATTCACTTAACTTTTACCCATTAGAGTATAGACATCTTAGAGGTGACCTTCTGATGGCTGACAGTATCCTTAACACTTCTGGACATCCTCTCGAACACCTACTTAAGCTTAGTTCCAACACTAACCTAAGGGGTAACACCCAAAAACTGGAGACACAACATAGCAGAACGGATTGTAGACACAACTTCTACTCCCTAAGAGTTGTCAAATGCTGGAATTCGCTGCCGGCCGAGCTAATCCAAGCGACTTCCCAGGAGTCCTTTAAGAGGCAACTCGATCTATTCTTAAGGACTAAGGATAGTATCACACTATGACTTACTAATATCTTTTCCTCGTTTATTGTTAACATACCTAGGTTCCTGCCTGGAGGTCTTGGTGATCCCCTGCTACTAGACACGGAAGCCTGTTAAGCGAAAGCTTCTTCTATTCCGTTCACAACCATTTGAATTTTACAATAATAAACACAAAATTCAAATATGTAAGCGAAGACTGCCATAGATTAAAGCGACGAGGTTAATTAATTGGTCATTCAGGCAAGATGAGCAGATCGAAGTGTAAGGACCAAAGGGATGACAGAGATTATAATAAGACGGCTGGAAATAGATTTTTGGTGTGTCATAAAGATAATAGTAGGTATGTTGCGAGATGTGCACCAGGTACATTTCGTTCAAACGCTAGATAGTAAGTAACTCATTGATGAGTACGTGGTAATCAAATTTGTTCTTGAAGCTATGGACTGAACAGGATATGGTCACTTTGTCTATGCGAACATGACATTTTGTGATATCAGCCTTCTGCAATAAGAACAACTGACCGGCTGAATTGTGTTAGCCTTCGGACCATGTTTTGCAGTGAAGATCCACTTTCCTCTTAAAGCTGTTCACCGATAGGTCTGACATTAATCTGCGGAATAACGCTTTCCATTCTTTAGCTTTTTCATGAGAAGAACGAACCCTTACCTTTATTCTGTTCAGACAAGGTGTCTGAAACATTTATATTGACCTCAGAGTTAAAAGTGGGATTACATACATATTATATACATTTATTAACGAACTATTTGGTAATAATAATAATAATATATTTCTGCATGTGCAGGTACACACCATTTTTACAGGCATGATCTATAAATTACAACATTTGTTGGTTCGCAAAATGCTTCCCAACTTATTAAGTTTATAGTTGTTATAAAGTGAAATCGTAGAGCGCTTGCTGTAAACTATGACCTTGGGAGGACGCGTACGTCAAGTTTGCTCCAAACGTCAGGAGTTTCATAGCTGTCCTCTCAGAGCAAGATTCTGAAGGAGAAAAAAAAGAAACAGAAGAGCAGCAAGGCACTTGGATATGAACGCCGAAGGTTGCTTAACATTGTGTAGTAGAACGGACAGAGGTATAATAAATTAGAATAAATTCATATAATGTCTTGTTAGAGTGAAGTGAAGTCAGAGGCTCCATATTAGAGAATGTACTAATAAAGAACAACGAGTTATGATGTTTAACAAGTTGGAGTAAGCTCACATGAAGGAAGGGAAGTCAAGGTTGGTACAAGGGAAGCGGTTTATTAGAAGGGTGTGTATATAGAGGGTGAAGTGTTAAGAATACTAGTGACTATATCTTTTATTGTCTTTTTTCTTTTATTTTTTTTGTCCATCCGATGTCAGCCACGCAGTCCTAGTGTAAAAGTCCGAGTTAGCATGTTATAGGTTGTCTTAGTAGAACAGCTAATCCAGCATAATATTGGAAACATGAGTCTGAGTGGTGAGCGTAGGAAGACAATCTATATCTTAGATTGACTGTCTTATTCTCAATTATAAAGAGCCTGATACATACAAAATGTTCTGTCCCCACAAACACGGGTGGATTGAAGTTATCGCCCTCACCATCAATGTTTGCTGGTCAGTAACTCCACCCTCCCTCCTTTTGTGATGTTAGGCTCATTTAGGCTTATTTTTGTATATACGTCATACCTCGCACAATCCTCTGTTTCACAACCTGTTGGAAAGCACTATTTCTATAAGTACCATTTTACAAGCTTATCAGGCAGTTACAAGCTATGGACTGTGGGTAAAGCATCGATGCAGTGCCTCTGTTGTCTATAGTATGCCAAACAGAGTATAAGCGTTAAGAAGGGTATATTGTAGGATAGTTGTTTATTTAAGCAGGAGGAAAAAGTATAGAAGTATATGAGTTGTGGATAAGGGAACGAGCGGAGAAATAATATTAATTACTAGTCAACATAGTGTACAGAAGAGTAAAAAGTTAATACAGGATAAACAGGAAGGAACTCACAGTATCTTGGTGCCGATGTTATTTTCGGTTGTCTTAACCAGTTGATTGGTAACAGGTTCCATAGATGCAAGACCACTGGTAGTAGGCAGCCGATTGTGCGGTCCTCTTGACTTTTTAGGGTGGTAGTGAGTGTCCCTTATCGACCGAGTTTAGTTTAACAGTAATGATAGGTCCAGTGAGTTAACTGTCTACTTCAAGTGAGGAAATGGGGTGGAAAAAGTAATTAATACAACTGCAAAGTAGGAAAAATAAGGCAAACTGAACTTGAAGTCCATTTTGGTCTAGACATGGAGAGAACCTATGATGTCTGAGTGGGGCGCAGATGTGTTCGTACGTGCAAGATCAGTGCGAGTGAGGGCTTGATCAAGCAGTTTTACAAACGTATGTAGTTCATCTGCCATGCGAGTCACGGAGGGAAGACTGTTCCATATTATTGCATACTTGGTGAGGAAGAAGTTTTCCCGAGTTTTTGATCTGCATTTCTCAACTTTGACCGTAGATACTTTGTTTCGAAGTCCGTATTCATGTGAATCTCGGGCAAGAATTATCTGACATGTTGAGTAAGTAAGGTTTTTGAGTAGTTTGAAGTAGAGAATCAAATTAGACCTAAGCCTTCTCTCCCAAAGGGGTGCTATTCCTAAGATTTGGCATCGAGAACTGTAGTCAATGACCGAGTCAGTCTTAAGTACTTTGCGGGTGAAGTCTCGTTGTATTCCTTCCACCTTTAGTATATCAGATAGACGTAGGTTGGAAAATAAGAACGAGCAGTATTCAACGATAGGTCTTACACAAACTTTGTAAAGAAGGATTTTAGATTCATTTTGACAGAAATTACGGAGAATGAAGCCAAGCAATTTCCGCATTTGGGATGCTTTGGCTGAGATATGTTCAGAGAAATTAAGACTGTGTGAGTAATGTACCCCTAGGTCAGTTACTGATGCCAGTCTGGGCAGTGTGTGATCGCTAAGTGTTAGTTTTATTTTAAGAGACGTGTCTCCTATACATAACCAGCCGCATTTCTCTATGTTGAGCTCTAACCTCCAGCGTTTGCACCAGTCATCTACCATGTTGAGTTCATGTTGGATTGTTTGCATAGTACTGCGTAAATCGCAAATGTCAGTTTTATAGATGACTTTTAAGTGAAAGATTAAAAGCCAAGATCACAGACAAAATGAATGTTTCTAATCTTACGCGAACCAAATTATGTGGTGAATCTACAAAGATAGTAACATTACAATCAAGGGAAAACAGCTAGTTGTCTTCACACAGAACCCAACACGGGAGATTTTTACAAGCATAAATACGAACATGGGAAAATAATATTACAGTGTCCTCCAAAATACCTCCACAGAACACGTGAACATTTTATTTGTCATTTATTACGACCAAATCAGTTCACTGATAGAATTCAGTGGACACATCGGGACTCAAAAAGTAAATTTACACTCCATATTACACCAATGTACTACGAAGGAGTCAGGCATACTACAGACTTAAATTCACGTTTATACAAGTCGGAATGTCTTTCAAATTATTATGTTGCTAACTATTGATTTCATAGCAAACTGTAATAAGTTGTGCTGCGGAAAAAACCCACACCCAAAACTATTCATCACCACCATCTCTCTTTACATATTAGTGCTTTCTTCATTCTTTTCTAAAAACAAGTAATAATTGACCAACTAACGTTCGTCTGCCTATCGTTTAAGCGTGAAACCCATCTTAAACACCAAGCTGCTTTGCTCAACATGTCTTCATAGTTCATCTGTTTATAACATTCGTACTTTACCACATGCTTCCAGGTTCATACTTTTCCTCAGCACGTTATACCAGATCTCATTCCCACAGAAATCGGTCATTTGAACTCTAACAGGCGATTAGCCGTACTAAGCAAGTAGGTTAAAACCACTAATTTATAGACGTATTGCTATCTTATGACATGTACGCTGTGGCTTTTAATCATAGTACTTTATTGAAGTTAATGGTTCGGTTAATGTATATCTGAGTTCGGCTTGGGTTTCAATTAGAATACCAAGAGCTTAAGACATATCTATTATATGGGTGTTATGATCAAAAAAGTGGTTATCGTTTAATTAGCCTACGAAAGTTCTGAATTAAAATCACTGTCAATGACGTCATTGCGCACGTTAAGCTCAGTAATCAAACAATCTTTCCAAAGTATATCTTCAAAAACAGCATGTGAATTTTATGAACCATGTCAGTGTACTCTACTACTTACCCGAAGATCGGGGTTTTTAAGCAGGGAAATCGTTTATCCCCTTGCTGAGATATTGATCTGTGTTATGACCAACA